TCACATCTTTTGCACTAAATGGTCCTGACCCCACTGGTCGAGAGTGAGTGATTCATTCAAGTTTTGCATGTTCATATCTTGCCCCGTTGAGGACCTATGTTGCCCCTTTGTTTGTGCCTTGGACTTGAAATCTATGCACGGTTAGTTCTGGTTGGTGATTAGATTTGTCGAGACTTGTGTTGGTTTGAGAACAGGGTGAGAACTTTTCATTTGCACGCTCTTGATGCAATTTGAATGTCGTTTATGGTGGATGTCGGTATTGCTTGTGTCGGTTCATGTGTTAATGCCCAATAGCCATTGAGATTCACTGCTTTGAGCCCTTTGATATGTCCCCAAGTTATCTTGTTAGGTTGAAATAGTACCTTTTTGGAAATAGTTTGCTTGAGGACAAGTAAACGTCTAAGTGTCGGGAAATGATTCGGGTCCAATTGTACACTTTTTATCCGCGTTTCCCTTAGACGTTTGATGTTTTGTACTTCACGAGGTACGGTTTTACGCTAGGTTGTGCTTTATTTTAGTATGTTTCAGACCCTAGCAGGTGGAACTAACCCCAGAATCGAAAGTGGGACTAAAAGTCACGAAAACGAGTCAAAGAAGGGAAGCAACTGAGGATCACGGCCCAAGACGAGTTTTCACGATCTTAGGATCGTGAAAAGATCTCCCAGAACGTGAAGCGCCAAGGGTCCAGAATCATTTGCACAACTCGCGGGCTCCAAATCAGTTCACGGTCGTAAGCCCATGAACCAAAGCCCCAGACTGTGAACAGACTAAATGAAATGGCGCGTATCAGTTGGACGTCATGGTCCAGGAGGAATGTTCACGACCGTGAACTAAGACCGTGAACTGACCGCGACATGGGTATAAAAGGAGGGCTGAGCTGAAGGAAAAGGGGAGGAGACCTAGAGTGAGAAAACTTCTTCTTCTTCTTCTTCTTCTTCTTCTTCTTCTTCTTCTTCTTCTTCTTCTTCTTATTTAGATTTATAATGTGAGAAAGTGACGAACCAAACAAGGGAAAAAGTTAGGGTTTCATATTCAAGCAAGGTTTTGGGAATTCCTTCCCCAAAGGATGGTCTCTTCAACACAAGGAGCAAAGCTTGTATCTCCATGATGGTTTTCCTTCTTCTCCCTTGTGTTTTTCCTTCTCCTAGCATGGACTAGTCCCTTATATTTCACTTGCGTGTTTGTAAACCCTAGCTAGAACTATGTGACTGTTTATATGGGTTGAATGATTTGTGTGAGGGTGTGTTTTAATACAATGTTTTGAGGTATTTTCATGAAGATTGTGTTGTGTGTTTACCTATCAATCTATTTTGCCATCTTAACCTAGGTATAGGGAAAAGCCCTTCTCTTGAAGAGGCTTGTGAAAGCTGGATTTCCTTGTTCAATCTTTGCCTCCTGCTTAGATTAAATTAGGTCAAACCTCTTAATTCGTATTAACACCTAGGGTTGGTTGTAATTTGGTCGTCCGAACTCCGATTTGAGGGTGAAGTCTTGGAAACCCTTAGTTAATAGGTCAAGAGAGCTACTTTGGTAGCTTGAATTGATTTTCCCTTGATCTATTGATTGAGAAAGTGGCATTTGTTCACTTGTTGCACTTCCCTACGGTTCAGAATCGCCTTACCACACATTGTCATTCGATCCAACAAGTCATAATTGCTAGCTAGGGGGAGCAACACCCAGGTGAAGCCTTCTCATTTAGAGTCAAAACCAATTACTTTTATAATCATTTTAAATGTAGATCGTAGTTTTCAACAAACAATTAATCGCTAGATAATGTTTCAAACAATCGAAGTAGGGGTACATGAATTGGCCCGAGTTTATATTTAAACATACTTGTACTATATTATACCCAATTAAGGTTTATACTTGGGCCCTAATTGGGAGTTTTATTGTGATATTCAAGACGAGTCATGATGGCAGGATATGTTTTTCTAATAGGTCGACTATTATTGCACCTGTAATGGATGTTGTTAAGTGATAGATGGATATTAGTTTATGTAGTCGGATATTAGTCTGGGGAATATGGATATTTTTCTTTTTATGCGGTGATATTATTCTGGGCGTTAAGGATATTACAATGTTGGCAATAAATATTATATTATGTACTAGTGGATATTGTTTTATTTACTAGTGGATATTATCTATTATGGTTTCGTGATTAGGGTTTAGGGTTTAGTGATTAGACTGGCTCCAACCCAAGGAGCTAAAAAGCTATAATGTCATATTTGGGTCTTTTTCTTCCTCCAACCCACAAAAAAAAAGAGGAGCTAAATATTGATATTTGATGTTTAGGAGCCAAATTTGGCTGGATTTGGAGAAGGGAAGTCATATTTGGAGAAGGGAAGTCATATTTGGCTTGGCAAAAGTGGAGGCCCTGCGGCGGGACCGCCCCTCACTTTTCTTTTTCTTCTTTTCTTCTTCAATTTTTGATTGGTTAGCTGGCAAAAGTGGGGCCCTGCGGCGGGACCACCCCTTCCTTTTTCTTTTCCTTCTTTTCTTCTCCAATTTCAATTGGTTAATCTTTTTTTTTTCTCCAACCATTTGAATGAGAAATAAATAAATAGTGATGAAATAACGACTAATTTTCTGAACTTTTATTTTTCTCATAATTAAAAAAAAGTTACATCAAAAAATTTATTTTCAAAAGTAATAACTAACTATTAAAAATTTATAAGTAAAATATAAAAATTAGACCCAAATAAGTTTGGTTTATTAAAATAAATTGAAAAAAAAGGTGGGAAGCTAAATTTAGCTTTTTTGTAGGGTTGGAGTGAAAATGGGATTTGGGGAGCTAAAAAGCCATATTTGGCTATTTGGGAGCCAAATTTGACTTTTATGGGTTCGAGTTAGTCTTAGAGTTTGGAGTTTATGGTTTAGGGTTTAGTGATTTGGGTTTAGGGTTTAGGGTTCAGCGTTTAAAGTTTATGGTTAGTTTTTATGGTCGGATATTAAACTGGGTGGTGTGGGTATTTGTTTTGCTATGAGATGATATTTGTTCTGGCTTAAATATATATTATTTGATGATGTATTGATATTGTTCTGGGTGGTTTGGATATGTGCTTGCATCAGGACATATATTCTTTAATGTATGACAAGGGTTGTTGCTTTTTCATATTCTTTCACTATTCCCATGTGACCTTTTTTGTTATTGTACTCATGTGAGCCTTTTTTGTTGCTTTGGTAAGTACTTTCACGTGAACCTTTGTCTATTTAAGAGAAAGTTTCATACTCATACTCATACAACATCTTATCTCCTCCTCAGTTTCTTCTTCTCTTCCAAAGAAAAGTCCATGTTTGGAGAGACTCCTAAACCTGCATGCCGGCTCTTTGTGGATGAGTTTGAATATAATGGCGTTGTGCTCTGTTATCATGGTTGGAGAGCCAGTAGACGACTTGTTATTGATGAAGTCAACCCACCGAGGAGGTATTTTTTATGTCAAATGTACGAGTACGTTGAATGAGAAGGAGTGTGGTTTTTACCTGGATTGAGACAAAGCAATGTTCTCTGTTTTTGAAGAGTCGGATGATGAAAATATCACCAAGGATACCGTGAAGAAATGAATTAGTATTTCCTATCATCAACTTGTATTGTGTTGATTTGTTTCTATTTCTGATTCATATCCATCTTTATCTATCTTTATCTATTATTTTGTGTTATCCATCTTTATCCTTCTTGATTAGTACTTCTCTGTTTCTATTTCAGCAAACCATTATTTGTCTTTATTTTAAATTGTATTAATCTGGGCAATATGGATATTTGTTTGGTCTTGATCTGATATCAATGCATGATGTTTGAATATTTTTCTGGGTGGTTTGGATATATTTTTGGACATATATTAATTTATGGGTTGTATGGATGAAAAGGGGTAGAGGATATCAGTCTGGGATGTTAGGATATACTTTTGCATACAACCATATATTAGTTTGAACTGTTAGGATATATTTTTGCATACAAACAGAGATTAGTCTAGACTGTTAGGATATATATTTGCATACAGACAGATATTAGTCTGGGCTGTTTGGTTATATTTTTGCATACAGGTAGATATTAGTCAGGGTTGTTAGGATATATTTTTGCATCAGAACTTATGTTGGTAATTATATCCAACCTTCAGCAAAATATTATACATCCTGCTACAAACCAACATCCTTCCCTCAATATTATCTAACCCTATGTTCAATTTTACATACCAATATCACACTACACAAATCTAAAATAAACTTTTCTTCCTTTTCCCTTTCTCTTTCTGCACATTCCAATCTTTTGCACATTGAACTATTCCATCCTTGCGGCGGTTATAGTGGCAGAGAAGGAGGTTGGCTGCTATCTGTGCTCGTTGTTCCTCCATGTGTGGCTGCTTGTGCCAACTTGCTTTATATCCCACTAGAAGGTGACCTGTGCATAGCTCCATGTAAAAGCATGCAGATATACCACAATTATCCTTGCCAGCCTGCCGAGGAACGTCGACAATGTTGAATTCTCAATCATTCAATGCATAATCGACCCCCTACTCTTTGAGGAACGCTGCCCCATACTAAAGAAAATCATTTTCCCAAGTGGTCCATCCACCTTAGTCGCTCGAACATAGGGTTTTTGGTTGTCGAGGAGGAAAGTCTTCATGTTCTTCATGTCAGCAACGTACACTCGATAGTGATCATTTAGATGCATGGGAAAGAAGATCTAAAACACAGAGCACGTAGTCAGTTAATCATTACTAATATCCTAACAACCCAGAATAATACCAAGGAAAACTATATTAATATCCTAAGAACCCAAATTAATATCCAAACAAATCACATGTTTCCAAGTTTGCACGTTTCAGCAGTGGATTCCTTTTTTTCATAGAAATTATCGCACTGAGTCTCTCCTTCTCCACGGGCTGTTTTTTTATAGCATTATGCACGATATGTTGCTATATAGAAGAGACAACAATATCAAATTAGAAAATTTCAATATAAATAGGATCTAAGTAGTGAAGAGAACACTTACTACATAAGTTCATGCGAAGACAATTTTCTTCACCACCACCGCAACATGGGGTCTCCTCCTCTCTTGACCTCCACGAGCCGCTTTAGTCATTGCCGCAAGAAAACATTTCGGCTACGATTACCCTGCATGCGAGCTCCTCCTTTAGAACCTCGAGCATCTTCTCATTAGATCTCACAAGGTCAATCTCAGCACCACCAGTAAGAATGCCGTATACACAGGCAACATCCTCAAGTTCGATGGTGAGCACCTTCTTGTTGTCCCCTTCACCAAAAATGAAGCTATCTGTGGCCCGCTCGTAATGTGCCATCAAGGAATCAAGCATCTTCTTAGAAACATTGGTCAGTCGGATCTCCAATAGGCCTATAAATCCGGCCTTCTCGAGCTCTTTCTTGCAAGCTTCATAGTACCGTGCATCTTGCTTCTAGTATTTTATAATCGACAGCACCTTGCTGATGCTATAGAGAAATATGTACCATGACTAGCGCCCTCCTTCAGCAACTTCTTCCTCATCTTCTTCGTCCTCATTATCTTGGTCCTCCGCTTGTTGGTCCTCGATTTGTAGGTCCTCATATTCCTGGTCCTCATTTTCCTGTGGTTGTTTGCCACGTTTAGGCTTAGAGGATTTGTCTTCTAATCACTGTGTCTTTGCAATCATTTTAGTTCTTGCCATTATGATTTCCCTGCACAGACAAATATCCTTACATTAGCTAACTAATATATGGACCTCACATGCCCAATATCCCCAACGTTCAGAAGTAATATCAATCAAATCATATCCACATTCGTCAAACAAATATCCAGTCCATTATACAACTGATATCCGTAAAGATGACAACTAATATCAATGAAGTGATATCCAGATACATCAAAATAATATCCAGGCAAGCATAAAACTGATATCGCTACTGTCAAAACTAATATGAATGAATTGACATGTAGATACAACAAAAAACTATCCAGGAAAGTCACAATTGATATCCCAAACCCACAAAACAACTCGCATCCCATGCCACAGAAAAAAATTCACAAAACCCATCCAAAAGAACGACACGACTCGAAAGAACCCAGATCCAGCGAATCCTTGAAACTAGAAAACAAATCCACTAAACCCATTAAAAAAATCGAAGCAAAAGAAAAACCTAGATCCCATCGAATCCATGAAATCCTAACTCGAATAAAAACAAACGAAAATTTGTATCCATGAATAATGAAAGGACAAGAAGCCTACCTCAGTCAGCTTCGTCGCGCCGCCGTCAAGTGCTACAACTTTTACTAGAAAGGAATTTTCAAAACAGGAAGTATTTTTGGATATACTGGGTTTTGAGAATAACTTGGCCTTTACTTTTCACAAATCCACATACATTCGGAAATTATGGCTATGATAAAAGTTGTAGTCCATAAAAATTTATGTGAAATAAAAAAATCATAACGTTCGGATTTCGGAGCACAAAGTTATGGTCGGTCAAAGTTTGGCAAAATCGAAAAATTGCTCGTTCAGGGTAGAAAACGACGTTTTTTTCTAGGCCAATGGGGGACCAAACCGTCTATGGCTTCTTTCTGCTTGCAAGATCTCGAAAAATTATGCGGAATAAAAAAAATCGCTAGAATCGGATAACCGAGTGCGAAATTACGTTCGTTTGAATTTTCAACGTAAATTAGGCATTCACCGCTTTGGTCGGCCGTGGTGATGCATTCACCACTTTAGTCGGCCGCGGTTATGTATTCGCCGCTTTAGTCGGTTGTGGTGAAAGCCCAAACATGTGTAGATTGAGAATTTTTTTATAACGTGTGTATTTTGATAATTTTTGGGCAATGTCTATTTTTTACCCAAACCTTTCCAAAATTCTTTTATTTTACCAAACCTATAGAAATTATATTTATTATCCAAACGTTAATTCATCGTCAACTTTTCCGTTAATATTGCTGACTCAACATCACAAATCTGAGTTAGCCTCTGTTTTTTTACAATTTCTCGATGAAAAAGTTGAATTGGGTAATTTGGGGGAAGGGTAGACGAAGACGAACTTGGAAGGAGATGTGATTGTCTTTAGGGTTTATTTTGCTGATCTTGGGCACGCTTTTTGGGTCTTCGGACTGAAGCAAATGGATTCCGATTCCGTAACCACACAACATGCAGGAAGAATAGAGACCCAAAATCGAATCATAACCCTCTGTTTTCCCTTCGTCAAAATCTCAAATTGGGGGAAAGAAATTTTGCGTACCAGGCGCCGTCGAAGTCGAAGGAGCCAGGGCGGTGAATGGGGAAGAAGCCAAGAGCATGCTGGTAGAAATCGAGGGATTTCTCGACAGATCGACAGACGAGGGAGATGTGATTCAACGACTTGAGTTGTAGAGGGTTGTTCATTCCCATGCCCATTGTAATTCTTCTCACTTTCCAATCTAGGAACTCTTAATCGAACAAGTGTGGTGAAAGAAGGGGGAATTGGCAAGGGAGAATTACAGTAGGGAAGTGGGGAAGGAAGAGGGGGATTGATGGCAGAGATGGTGGTTCCAGACCCAGCAACCCTCTTCACGTTCGTAGACTATTGGTGAGTATACTACTACTGACTGCTCTACTTCTCCCTGTCTCTCTTCTTCTCCGCCGTGACCGTGACGGACGAAACCCTCTGCTATTCCCTCATGCGCCCCTTTTTCTGTCATTTTTCAAGTTACAAATATAGATTTTGGACTTTCCTCCGCTTTGCGTCATCGAGCTTCGTCGCCACTAGCGGAAGAAAGAATTGCGAAAGCGCGATTTGCGAGATTCTGCCTCTGCCCGATGAGGCTTCGAACGTTGATGATGGAGGCAGAGACTCAATTATCTTTCTGTGCGGTGATTCAATCGGCAGTGACGTAGGAAGATGCGACGATTTTTGGGTTGAGATTTTTGATTAATGGAGAATGGCAATTCGATCTGCAATCCAGAGCTCACATGCCTGGAAATCGAGTGGAGTTGTAGGGGGAACGGTGGAGTACAGTGGGGAGAGAAGGACTTATTTATTTAATGATTTTTTATTTTATTAATTTATGATATGGACGTTGACGTGGACGCTGACATGGAAATCCGTTAGTAAAAAATTAACGGTAACAGAACGAATGACCAGATTATGAACAGATACAAAACGTTTGAATAATAAATAGAATTTCTTTTGGGTAAAATAACAGAATTTTGGAAATATTTGAGTAAAATATAGACATTGCCACAACTAAATTGTATTCCGGGTGGGTCTTGTAGTTTTTTTGGACAAATTCCAACTCTATCTTCCGTGTCGGAGGGCGAGAGAGAGCTGCGGCGCGGCGTCTCCGCCTCCCTTCACGTTCACGTTCACGTTCAAACTATCTCTCCCTGTTTCTCCTTGGAATTCCATTCACTCTTTTTTCTTTCCATAGAGGTCTTCAGCTGTGTTTACTTGGACTTCTCCTCTTAACCTACGCCGTCTTTCCTGCTTATTCCGCGGTTCCCCCTTTGCCCGAAAGCTGAGATATTCACCTTGCTGCTGCAAGTGTGCTTCGTCGTACTACCTAGGGTTCTGTTCTACTGTGAATGCAAGTCTGTGAATCCCTAAATTCCCTTTCTGGTATTTCACTCCCCAAAATTTGAAGCTTTCTTCTTATCCTTTTTCATTTCCCCTGGCTTGGTGTACTTTAGAATGCGTGGCGTTGGATGGGATCACATTTTTCCTCATATCCTAGTTATTGGGTTTCTCATTTTAGAGGTTTTGCTAGGGTTTAAAGTGCCGTTCTAGATTTTCTCATTTGTTCCCCTGAAATGGTCTTGGAGGGTTTTCATTTGCTCGAGAAAAAATTATGATAAGTTCGAGCTTGATGAGATTAATTGTATCAATTTAATATAAGTGGTGTGGTTGCTTGAAATTCTTGTGGCATGTCAAGTGGGTTTTTATTGCTGTTACTTGTCTTGTTGTCGACTTAGTTATCTCCGGAGGTACAATATTTCCGATGAAATTGGAATCTCATTGTTTAACCTCCAAGAAAGTTGAAATCTTTATACCTAGAGGGCTTGGTTTTGGCAATGTTTTCCTTAGAATGGAAGGGACTTGTTTAGACGTTGAATAAGTTGGATAATTTTCCTTTCTTTTGAAAGGAAGCTGAGGTTGTGCGCGGGGGCTAGATGGCATTGCCTGAGGATGCTGCCAATAACGGGAAAGAGGGAGAACCTGTGGGTGATAATGGTTTCATAAAGCAATCAGAGTCTTCTCCTTGTGCCAGTGGCAGTCCTGCGGCTATGGCTTCATTGCAGAAGCATTTCCAAGGGAAGGATGCTTTGAATTATGCCAATATTCTCCGATCCAGAAACAAGTTTGCTGATGCTCTTGCTCTCTATGAGAGAATATTGGAGGAAGATGGTGCGAAGGTTGAAGCTTACATTGGGAAAGGGATATGCCTCCAGATGCAGAACATTGGAAGGCTAGCTTTTGACAGTTTTGCTGAAGCTGTCAGGATAGAACCTCACAATGCCTGTGCCCTCACTCATTGTGGCATACTCTACAAAGATGAAGGTCGTCTAGTTGATGCTGCTGAGGTATTTGCATTATCCTTCTTTGATTGTCAGGGCATCTCACAGAAAATTAGTTGGTAGCAGAAGTGCTGATCTGTTGGCCATTATTGGAATTTTCATGATGTGTTATTTTCCCTTTTCTTTTGGTTGTTGAACATTGACTGAAAAACTGGCAGGCAGAAGCAGAATGTGTCTCATTTCACTTCATAGTATAAGGAATAAGCAGCTAGGTTGACCACACACTCTGTAGTATCTCTTAGATTCCATAACAAATTCGTTATAACAAGGAGGGTCACTGCCTTAAAAAATGAGGGTATGTCGTAAAACAATGACTAAATAATTTGAATTGTCGGATGAGGTCAAAGATTGGATCTTATGCTTTTATTTTTCCTATGAATATATTAGGTTATTTTATTACTTATGTATAATTTCTGCTTTTAGAGTTTAGTTTGATTTGGTACTTGGTAGTGGTAGTAGAATATGCTTGCACCAACATTATCTTTATTTATCGTGAAAGTTCAGTTTTTTCTTTGTTCCTACTATTCTTTTCTTGCACTTCGCCAATATGTAAACAAACGTGGTACTTGGTGGCTTTCTCTTTTGCATTGTGGTTAAGTGTTGCATTCTATGTGTTTTTCAACTGTGTGAAAACTATAGATCACACTTTCATTAGTTGCATTTTCTATGTTTTGTGCAGTCATATCAGAAGGCTCTAACTGCAGATCCTTCATATAAGCCAGCTGCTGAATATCTAGCAATTGTCTTAACAGATCTCGGAACGAGTTTAAAGCTTTCTGGCAATGTCCAAGAGGGGATTCAGAAGTACTATGAAGCTCTTAATATAGATCCACACTATGCAGTAATTCATATATTCCTAGCTTCTTTTAGAC